AAAAAATAGCTAAAAACATGGCAAGAACAGCAAGAAGACAACTCGAAGGGCGACATCTGCTATTTGGAGAATATTTGTGGAGCTGGACAAACCTAAACGTACACTATCGAAGATGAACTGAACATCGATGGATCGATGGAGGTAAGCATGTTTCAGCTATGTTTTTAAACTAGGAATTATTTTGAATGAATAATAAAACAGTTATTGAATTCCGCTTTCGTATCATATGAAGAATTATGGAGATCTCGGCTCGATTTCCATAATTCTTCATAAGATACTCAGCCTCATTCATTAACTGTTAATTAAGGGTTGCATAGGTCTTAATACCTGGCCTGACAGCTACTTGTACTTGTAATGGCTGTACATCTGTGTCTGCAGCAATGAGGGGTGTTTTTAACTGACTAGCTTGTCCACCTCCACCATCAGTTTCACTGTAGGCATAGAGGAAAAAAAATGGTGGCATTAACCAAAAATAATGTTTTAGTTCATATTAAATGAAGGTGTGTATAGAGTTTTTGTTTAAATTTCACATCCTCAAGAGTGGAGTGAATGACTGGGAACAGAAGGAAGTTCACCTCATTCTTTGCCCCCTCTGCTGCCGCACGCAACACATTTAAACAAGTTACATAATTCAGAAGGGTATGTGTGTGTGTGGGGGGGGGAGTTCTTTGAACCTGGAAATCCTAAGGGAGGGGAACTCAAGCAGTTTTGGAAATCTGGGGGGAAGGGGAGGAGGAGGTCAAAAATTTGTGCCTGACTGTTGAGAGGCTGTAAATTTTGTCTGGAATAACCCATTTGCTACATTGCAATTGACGCCTGATGATCTGAGCAATGTACTCTGTAAAAGGGGTCGAAGCAAGACATAATACGCAAGCTCTGCCTATAAACATAACATACATTACTAACCCTTCCTTATTTGGACTTGGCATGGAATGGACATGGATTGCAGCCACACCAAGGGCCATGATGAGAATGATGCCACAGGCTACTCCAACTGCAATGTAGAACACAGTGGTTTTATCCATCGGAGGATCAGCAGCTGTGCTTGGTTCAGTCTTAACTGAAAAGAATAATAACATCAATTCTTTACTATGCATCTTAATAATTCAGAATGGCCAAAGGTTAAAGACTAAGGCCCAGTTCATACATTGGGCTGCTGCCGCACTGAACTTAATCAATATTGGGTTTGATAGAAGCATGGCAAAAGCGCAACTTCAATTCAGACACTGTGCCAGATCGAGAGTCAAACTTAATTATTGGGTTCGTACAGTAGTCAATACAGTAGTCGGTAAAAATGACAATGCACTGTAAACTTGACAGCATAAATTGCTACTCACAAAGCTCTTAAAAAATTCAGAGAGAAGAAGGAAAGAAATTCAGCAGAAAACCCTTCTCCTTTTGTATGTGAGACCAATGTTATTATTGGAAGTTTGCTATATTGCTGCTCTTCTTATTTCTTTTGACAAAAACACTCCTGGTCAATCATATGCATGTCGGCAGCTTCCCTGTAACAAGGGTTAGTTCGAAGAAGTATGCTAACACATACACTGATGAGAAATTCAAGAAAACAATCCTCATATCAAAAGCCACCTTTAATTTCATCCTTGGTCATATTCAACATGATTTACAACATGATACTGTCACAGAGGATCGAATTCCACCAGCATTTAGATTGGCAATGTGCCTTTACTGTTTAGCAAGTGGTGTAGCCTGAATTGTCATCCAATTAGATAGCAATTCCCACAAAGTAACATTTCCAAAATTTATACATTTAGTTTGGCACAGCATAAGCATGACATACATTTGAATTACTGCTGTACCAGAGTCGAGACCTTGTGGGATTTGCTCTGCTGCACCACATTGAGAATTTTTCTTCAGGCATCATGTGGTGCACAGCAGAAGCACAACATATGAACTGGCCTTTAATTTATTATTTATAACAGTTACAATTTAATTTGTTAAAAAGACTTTTTGTAGGCTGCATTTTCCCTTTGGCTAAATAAGATGTAAAGTATTCTATTGGAGGTCCATTTAATAAGACTTAAAACACTGCCAGAAATAGCAGGGTTATTTATAAACTGCAGGTGCCAGTAAAGTCAGACTGCAGACTGTGTTTGATTGCAACATAAACATGATAAGCAGGAAGGGGATCATAAGGAAAACAGGAACTGTGGTCTCAAACAGTGATTTCTATTTTAATCCCTAGATATTTTGGAAATATAAAATTCTTTGCTTACTGATCAAAACAGGATCACTGCACCTGAGATTGACATTTTTGAAAAAACGACAGATTTTGAGACAGATTTTTCACGCAATGAAAACACAGGTTGCAATTACAGCATGCAGTTTTACAGCTTGCTATTCTGGCAAGCTGTAATATACTCCTAGCTCGCATAACTAGCCCAAAAGTCATTTCTTTACTAGCCAAAGACAATATTTATTTTTGAAGAGCAGGATTGATCTCAGTTCCTCTGTCTGATCTTGTCTGTCAGGCAAGTTAGGAACAGATGTCACTAGCCATCTACTAGCCCTGGGCTATCAAAAACTAATTTCTAATTTATTGTACACTAAAACAATATCCATATATCCATAATCAAAGCTAAAGAGTTATTGAAGCTTGTCATGCCAAAGAACATTTCACGTTTTCGTTTAACTGTGAATGCATGGATATGGGACCAAGCTCAACCTTATGAGAAAACTGTTCAAAACACACTCCCTCTTGTAGATGGTCATCTGAACCATGTGAAGGCCTACATAGCCATTTGCAAGGGCAAATAGTGTTTCCCTTCCTATTTTTTCTGAGACTTGTTCATTATTAGTCTGGAGGAAATTTTGTTCTACTATAAGCACCAGACAAGCATATGATAACTCACAATTTAAGTTTATATATGATAAAAAATCATTCAAAAACTCTAAAATAATTTGCATGTAGCATGTGTACCTTTGTGAAGAGCAACAGTGGGTTTCCTGGTACTAAGTGGAACAACAGCTGTAAGAAAAAAAGATGTAAAACTTAACAAAGTACTTATCAAACTAGACCCCAGGAGTGTACTCCCATGTGAGAAGAAGGATTAGAGTGAGGCTTGAACATTATTACATTTATATACATGTATGTACCTTTTTGGCAGGTCTTTATTCGTTGTAGGTTCAACACAGTTATATCTTTGACAAACTTTATGTCTGAAGTGATGTTAATCTGGATTAGCATGTGAGCAGTACCATCTTTTGTTCCTCTGCATGTCATATTTACACAGAATTCTACAAAGTGAAAAAAACTGGTATTCAGTTATGTCACTAAAGAAATTATAGCTATCAAATTGATTTTTTTCCTAAAAGGTGGCTGTCAGTAGAATGTCACTCATAACATCTAATACTACAGTGTCCAATTAATTATGCGATCCCTTTGTAGATAAATAATGAATGTACAAAGTCACAGGCACTTAATTAATTAAATTACAGAGAATGAATTCATTTAAATTACAGAAAATCAGACATGAGCTCCATAAAAAAAATTTTACAACTCTCTTAAGTCCAGACTTTGGTAAGTGCTGGCATATTTTCCTGAACAGCGGCTATACATCAAGATAAAAAAGGACCATGATAAACTCAAGCTATGATCAAACAAACAGTGTCTGGTTTTTGAGAGTGCCACTTGCTAAGCTTTTATATGAGAGGTCATAAAGCAAGGTGCCGAAGGTCCCCTCGTGAAAAGCGAGGTTTATAACTTTGTCAGAATTTGCATCATGCGTGAAACACACAAGATCACTTAGTGAAACAGAAATCATGTATCTTCTTAGTAGTTGCAGTAACCAAGCAACCAAGCATAAACAAACTTTAATACACATCATTCAGTGTGAAGTTTCCAGGCAAAGACTTACACTGTTAATTTTTCATTGGAGAATCGACAACCTTTTTGCTCATGCAAATAACGGCAAACTACAAACACAAAACCCACATTTAATCTTGGTGCTTTCCCTGCCAATGGATCAAAGTTTCAGCCCCACCACACTTCGGCCAGAAGTTGAACTTAATACACATGAACCCGTCGTGTTTGTAATTTTTTTTTTATAAAAAAGGCAGCAAAACAGGGCAATACAGAAGGAAGACAGATAGTATGTACAATGTAAAAATATGACAATTTTTACTATGGGCAAGAAAGGGGTGTAGTGCCACCCTGCCTGCTATTTGATTAAGGATGCATGGCCCTCCTTTCTGGCCTAAAATACATGCCACTGACTATAAGAGATATTTTACACATGTGTAAAACAAATCAGTCAATCAGATTATCTGCCTGGTGGAGGAGCAACAAGGTGTACGTCATCAGCACCTTTCGCCTAGCCAAGCACTGCAGAAAGGACACAGTGCAACTGTTACTGTCTTGCGATTGCTACCACACGTGTACAGAGAAGAATCATCAGTTTCATTAAAATTTGATCAGTGCAGTAGAAAGAGTCACCGTACATATTGAAGGCAACAATCAATGTACTGTTGCCCTTCTTCGGCATTTGTAAGAGTCGATTAATCGTCAAGCGACATTTCGTTTGACATATTTCTTACACAAACCGTACGTTGTAGACAATTTTGTCTGTTGGGTGAATACCCTATACTGTTGAGTTAAAAACCTCATGTAAATAAGTCTTAAATTAAACGTTTTGACGTGTTTTGTAAGATAACACCAAGGTTCATTCTTTCAAGTTCCATCTACATGAAAAAAAAAAAAAAAAGAAAAAATCCCGCGCTGACCGCTTAAAATAACGATTGGCTCTTATCTTTGATCGAATACCTTTCTTGGTCTCTGGAACAGGTCCAAAATGTTTAATGTTCACTCTTGGCTGGAACAAGAGATCGGGAGTGTACGATCTGAGTTGTAAGCTATAGTAGTATCCCTAGAGGACAAAAGGTACAAACTGTCAACATCCACACCATGCAATCCACGAATTACATGTTAACTATATAAAAACGCCTTGCGGACAAGATATTCATGAGCGAAATCAACAGAGGTTCAACTGATATACCATAAAAACCTCATACTAAATAGGTAATAAGTTTGATCACGCTCAATCATGACATTTCCAGAGAGTGCATGATCAACTCGCGGGTGATTGAAGCATTGGCAGACCAGTTGGCACAACAACATAACTCTGCCTTTTAAGGAGCTTGTAATTGTATTCAAAACAGAGCCTCCGCTTCTCCATATTGTGTTGAATATACTCACCATTGGTTTTGAGAACCAAATGAACCTCAAGCAATTCACTCGATAAGGTACAGTCATGTTGAGATTAACGGCGTTGAGTTTAATTTGTCCGTCTCTTATGTAGTAAATATCGCCTTCGATTCCTGTGAAGAAGCATATGACCATGGTTGTGAGAATTAAATCTCTACAAATAAGCTTCGTGTTCGTGTCAAGCGAACTCACCGAGGATTTTTTTCGATTCGGTGCTGTTGATGTACAAATTTACCGAACATTCTGTCGGCAACACGGCACTTAGTATGGGAAAAAGCAGAAGAAATAAACCCAGGTGATTCTTCATCTGGCCTCAGTATGAGCAGATTCTAACGTCCCAAGTTCCCAATTGACAAAACAGTTCTTACACGCAACTGGAAGAGGTATATTCGAGAGAGGCTTTGTTCGGATGTTTGTGTATTAACTTTCAAAGAATGCCCTTGTTCAAGAGCCAATCAGTGGCAACAAATTTGATTACAATAAACCGAGGAACTTGGACGCTGTAAAAGCGTTTACTCGGGCGTATAGAAATCCCAGGGGGCTACGCTGGATTTCAAATGACGGAGATGACCGAAAGGCAGGGAAATCAAATGCCATAAAAATCCCTTGTTTGCCAAAGCCCAGCAACACCTGTACTTTTAATTTGCAGTTTAGATCACTTTCAAAAGCTCAGTTTTCTCGAAGTCTATGCGTAGTCATCTTTTTTTCCCAAGAGAGTAGGCAAACTTTCCACTTTGAATGTGTCCAGTTTACATTTTATAAGCGTTGATTACCAGTCGTTGACCCCACAGTGCGTGCTTTTCTCGCAGTTTTGAGAAAAGTCTCATTAGAGCATTTCTGTTGATGCATTTGCATATTTTTATACAAACACCAAGAATATTTCTCACGGTGAAGCAATGAATTTTAATCAAGCGATCGTATAAATGAAGACACCAATTTCAGGTTGATTCAAACTGCTTTTAGTCAGAAAACTGGTACAAAGAAGATCAAATACAGCTCCAACGATCTATGGCCTGGAAAGATTGTCAAGATTCCTGTCCACCTCTTCGATGCAAGGTTTGTTCTTAGTTCATTTTATTGTTTTTTAGACTATCTATTATGTTAATTGCGGGCAATAAATCTTATCGATAAAAACCGTGCTAACAGTCGTAAGTGTACAGACTCTTACTGGTTAATTCAGTTTTCCGAAGAAAGCTATGATTCTTTTAAACTTTACGTAACAGATCAACGTTTCAAAGCAATGATTCATTTTGAGTGTTTTATCCGTTGTCCCAAGTTTTCTGTGAACACGCAAAACAGTCCCAGGTTTCAGGCTAGCTACTAATGTTGCTTCGATGATAAACATAAAGGGCAAAATGTAACTATAAGAATTGTCACTGAACAAAGCATCAAGACTGACATACTCAGGTGGCCGGATTTGACTTTTTCTGATGACTATAGTGGAAATTTTTCGTAGCGTAGTAAATAAAGTTGTCAGAGTCACGGTTGTACAGAAAACAAGTAGAGATTGACTTCAACAGTTGCAAAGGTTTTCTTTGACTCAAACAATATGCTCAGCCGAATATTGTTTTATTATATTAAGTTAACTACCATGCTATTAAAAGTCTGAGTTATTACCCTATATCTGTAATATTTGAAGGTAATTTTAATGCATCGATGGAAATGTCATCATATTAACGCTCATAAAACAGTGGAAGTGTAGCTGGAATTTAATTATAACTGCACTGGCTTGGGTTATATTGTAATTGAGAAAGCTTTAGTTTAATTTGTGAATTAACATATCATGCTCTCGCTATAAAATAGAAAACGAAGTTTTTTCAGGGCTTGAAGCTTGGTTTTTCACTTTTGTTAAGGTGACTGAAAGTAGTTTCTCTGACATTAAGTTGCGAGCGCTAAGAAACCTCACAGACGCAATCCACAACGCCGCCCCCCCCCCCTCCCCTCACCCCCAGTGCGCACGTGATCTAAAGAAAAATTGAAATCTCGGTATTTTCGCCCCTTAAAATACTTTATCCCCCCACTGTTAACATCTTTATTATGAGTACATATACAGCCAACGGGATTTTCTAGAAAACATGTCAGTACCAGCTGGTAAAAAGGGCCATAAGTTGTGTGTAGAAATTTATTGTTTTCCTGCTTCTGTAATATCGCGTGACCCCAAGTACGTATGCTCAACACTTCTGCGCTCGCTACGGGAAAATGTGAGGGCGCTAATGTTTTAATTTGTTGACTTTCAATAGAAAATGGAAAGAAACGACGATATCTTCATATCTACTCTTTAGAATTTTACGAAATTTGGCGAAGTTATTGTCGATATTATATTTATGTCACTGAAAACCTGAAAAATTAAAGTTGAATAGAGGATTTGTGACACAATCAATTTTCACACGACAGCTACTTTGATAAAAATATCAAAACCGGTTTGATATAAAAAAATTCGGTTAATTTGTTTTGAAAAAGAAGGATTACTTATGGTAACCTTAGTGCAAATTTATAAGATAAATGAATAATGAAAAATGTGTAGAGATCTGTTTCAAAAATTATTGAAGTGTTTGTTTTAAAAGTTAATTCAACTGTCTAATAATTCATCAACTTAGTTGATTTCTATTCTGGGGTTTTATATCGCGATGTTCATAGGATTCAAATACTACCCAAAGATTTGCTATAACTACTAATAAATATTCAATGAATCTTACAGAGTTTCATTTCATGTGATCAAGAATAAAGTTAATTTTTTATCGGTTAAGACCGGCCGAATGTACTTCCTGAATTATAATTCGAATTCACCATGTTCAAAATTTAAGACTGTACTTCTCGTGGAATTTAAAATTTTTGCGCTGAGCAGAAAGTTTGTCCGTATTTAGGGGAGGAAGACAATGCTCTGTGACGGTTCAGTTGAAAGGAAAGAACGAAGGGATGGTTTAGAAAAAAAAATCGTAAAAAACAAACAACTACCGATCAAACGGTAAAAGTTAATTCTTGCAATAATTTAAAATGGTGGTAATTGTAACGCGTGCTAAAACTTATTATTTCTTTACAGGTATACAGAATTATGCGAAGAAAAATTACCATGCAAAAAGGAAGGCCTTCAAAACAATAAAATATTAAAACTGCCAATGTCCTTAACAGGAACTTGCAGCCAATCTTTGTCTGTGTTATTGATTATTTTCACATGCCAAACCTGTGGTAAGTGTTCTTTCTTTGCATGAACGCATTATGATAAACTGAATATCTATGAAATATCAGTGTAGATCATTTGCAGAACTTGATTAGCTTTCTTCAATTAGATATCTTAAATTTTTTTCTTTAAGTCACCACAGGTTTGGTATATTTAATAAAACGATTTCTGTTGGCCTTTACAAACGATACTGACAAGCGTACAAATAAGACATGTACCGCTCCATTGTTTTCTCTACTAAAAGGTAATTATTATTGGTACCTGAGTAAAAGCATCAGCTATTACTCAAATTAAAAACCCAAAGTTCAACTTCAGACAGACTTTTAAACACTTCTCTGAGAAAACGCAACAAAGAACAAAAGGTAGGTCAAAAAAGGTAAGTAACAAGATAAGTTTATTTATATTGTTTTCTTCATTGAGCCCCGGGGACTAAGTGCTCCGCCCAAGGGGGGAGAGCCCCGGGGACTAAGTGCTCCGCCCAAGGGGGGAGAGCCCCGGGGACTAAGTGCTCCGCCCAAGGGGGGAGAGCCCCGGGGACTAAGTGCTCCGCCCAAGGGGGGAGAGCCCCGGGGACTAAGTGCTCCGCCCAAGGGGGGAGAGCCCCGGGGACTAAGTGCTCCGCCCAAGGGGGGAGAGCCCCGGGGACTAAGTGCTCCGCCCAAGGGGGGAGAGCCCCGGGGACTAAGTGCTCCGCCCAAGGGGGGAGAGCCCCGGGGACTAAGTGCTCCGCCCAAGGGGGGAGAGCCCCGGGGACTAAGTGCTCCGCCCAAGGGGGGAGAGCCCCGGGGACTAAGTGCTCCGCCCAAGGGGGGAGAGCCCCGGGGACTAAGTGCTCCGCCCAAGGGGGGAGAGCCCCGGGGACTAAGTGCTCCGCCCAAGGGGGGAGAGCCCCGGGGACTAAGTGCTCCGCCCAAGGGGGGAGAGCCCTGGGGACTAAGTGCTCCGCCCAAGGGGGGAGAGCCCTGGGGACTAAGTGCTCCGCCCAAGGGGGGAGAGCCCTGGGGACTAAGTGCTCCGCCCAAGGGGGGAGAGCCCTGGGGACTAAGTGCTCCGCCCAGCGGGGGGAGAGCCCTGGGGACTAAGTGCTCCGCCCAGCGGGGGGAGAGCCCTGGGGACTAAGTGCTCCGCCCAGCGGGGGGAGAGCCCTGGGGAAAGGGATATTATGATTTAAAAATCTCTGGATAACGGAGCAAAAAGATGAGTTCAGAGGTTCATTACTCAATTCGCTTCCACCATTGAACTGAAACACTAAGGGGGGTCCAGTAAGATCTGTCACCCTCTTCCTTGGAATTATTTTTTGATTCGCCCCAACCCTCTCTCTCCAAGATGGCGGGATAACTTTATCGTTGCCACTGCAAATTATGCCGGCCATGCGGGCTGCTACACCAACAGACGGTGGTTTTCCCGTGCTAAAAATCTCAGTTTTGAAATGATTTGGAATGTGGTAATCTGGAGACGAAGTTTACGGAAATCTCAATTTACATACATGATCTGTACTTTTCCACAAATTCTCTTCTATTCCTCTACGACTAGGCAGGAATTTGGTCGACAATTCGAAGAGATTGCAGCTGAAAGTTTGCGAAAATTTTCGTTTGATGTCACCGTTTGTGGTGGGCCAAAGGACAGAGGCATTGATTTTAAAGGTTTTTGGCGTTTGAAGTCCACGTCTGTTCCTATAATAGGCCAGTGTAGAAGGTACAAAAGGCGTTTAGGTCCTAAACATGTTCGTGAATTGGAAGGTACCTTGACCCATGAAGTGAATGGAACTTTGGGTATCATTGTTTCAGAGTCTGGGTGAGTAACTGAATGATTGAGGTTATTCTATTTAACACCCACTTCCTTTTATAAGGGACCGATCGTTTATTTCGTC